GAGGAGGAGGAGGAAGAGGAGGAGGAAGAGGAGAAAGAGGAAGAGGAGGAGGAGGAAGACAAGGAGGGAGGAGGGGGGAGGAGGAGGAAAAGGAGGAGGAAGAGGAGGAGGAGGACAAGGAGGAGGAAGAGGAGAAAGAGGAAGAGGAGGAGGAGGAAGACAAGGAGGGGGGGAGGAGGAAGAGGACGAAGAGGAGGAGAAGGAGGAAAAGGAGGAGGAGAAAGACAAGGAAGGAGGAGGAAGAGGAGGAGGAAGAGGAGAAGGAGGAAGAGGAGGAGGAAGAGGAGGAGGAGGAAAAAGAGGAAGAGGAGGAAGAGGAGGAAGAGGAAGAGGAAGAGGAGGAGGACTGTGGGGTTCTTGGTGCTCTCTGAACTTGGTTGTTTTCTTGTGGGTGTTTCATAATCCAACTAGATCACATCATCAGAACTAGAAGGGAGTGAAGTTTATGGAGTGGAGGAGGAGGAGGACTGTGGGGTCCTCGGTGTTCTCTGAACTTGGTTCTCTTCTTGCAGACGTTTTATTACCGAACTGAATAACATCATCAGTGCTAGAAGGAAGTGTAGGTTTTGCTCTCTGCTTATGCCCTGTTTGTTGGCGGGAGGGTTCTTGATGGCTCCTTGATCAAGCTGTTGTTTACAATGTGATTGTTGGTCTGAGTTGGTAGCCCCTGGATTGAGATGTGGTTTACTTCTTGAACAACATTCAAGAACATTATTAATCTTGATCTTAATCTCTGCTCATCTGAGTGCCAATTGAGAGCTATTTTGGTCTTTTTGTTTCCTTTTTGGCTTTTCAACTGACTCCTTTGAATGGTGTGTAAATGTTGTTTACCCCTCTGTGCCTGTTGATGGCGGATTCGTCTGAGTGCCAGGCTTTCTCAAATTCTCTAGTGTTTGGTTGAGAAACTATAGTTTCTAAGTCAGAGCGCATGATGAAAAGTCAGAAGGCATGATCAAAATTGCACAAACACATGGACAGAGTTCACCAGGGTTTTTCAACTAGGAAACTATGAGCACCTTACCGCAAGTTAACCCCACCGTTCAACCCTGAGCTACAAACATGCTTTTCCATTGGTACTTTTAGTGTCTTCAGGTCATTCCTCAGGTGCCTGGCAGGAACACCTTAGGGGAGGAGAGAGCATTTGTAGGGTAGAATTTTTTTTTTTTTCTAATGAGCTATTCTGCTGAAACTATGGTGAAGTTTCTCCATGTGTCCTGCAAATAAAATTCCCCACGCTGGCGGGGGAATTCTGGAAGTTGAAGTCCACCCACCTTAAACTTGCCAAGGTTTGAGATACCTGGACTAGAAGACCACCAGGGACCCCAGCCAGGAGAATTCTAGGAATTGAAGTTCACAGGTGCTGGCTGGGGAGTTCTGGGAGTTGAAGTCCATCCATGTTACACTTGCCACAGTTTGAGAAATGATGCACTAGAGTTCCAAATGTGGAGAGAATGAGATCCAGCCAGTGGAATTCTGGGAGCTGAAGTCCACTCATGTTCACCTTACTGGGTTTTGAGAAATTTTTTTTTTTTTTTTATTTATTTGATTTGCCAATTGTTTACAAGATAATAAGTATAAGTGTATACATAGTTGTGAATACATGAAATGGGTACATATAAGAAAAATAAAAGAAGAATAAGAGAAACAATAGGACAGGGACGGTAGGCACGTTGGTGCGCTTATGCACGCCCCCTACAGACCTCTTAGGAAAGGGGTGAGGTCAAATGCTGGACTACGCCTCCAAATATTGAGAGAGTGTTGACCCAGCCAGCAGGACTCTGAGAGTTGAAGTCCACCCAAGCTGGCTGGGGAGTTCTGGGAATTGAAGACACACTGAACTCAACTTCCACACCTGGAGGGGGTGGGATCAAGCAAGTAGAATGCTGGGCCTTGAAGTCCACACTTGGCTGGGGAATTCTGGGAGTTGAAGTCCCAGTTTGTGTTAAATTCACCAAGGTTGAGTAACGTTGGAGTAGTAGAGGAGAAACAGTCAACTCTACAATTCTAGGCGTCTACATTCCCCACTTGAGAGGTTGTCCACGCGGAAATGACTCCTCCAAGGCTACTTCCAATCATCTCAACCAATTGACTTGCTCTCCTTCCTGTCCACAGGGTTTGACCATACCCAGAGTGGATCAACCAATTGACCAATCCCACCTGGAGAAGATGGTGAAGAAGGCAGTCCAGGAATACTCCTACAAGAATTCGATAGAACCAACAGCTTACCGGCCGTACAAGTATTGGGTGTCCCGCGAAGAAGGTACTCAAATTGTCCACCGCAACTCCTTCTCTTTGACCTCTGTTACACCGGGACGGAGGTAGACCTCGACTTACAACCATAATTGGGACCAGGGTTTCCATTGTTAAGCAAAGTGGTTGTTTAAGTGAGCCGTGGACAGTTTTGTTATCTTTTTTTTTTGCCACGGTTGTTAAGCGAATCATTGCAATTAAGTGAATCAAGTTGTCAGGATTCCGGCGATTGCCCTAATTAAATCATGAGCCTCGGGCCAAGCTTCAAAAGAAACCAAAAGACATGTCCAGCATTAAACAGAGGTGGTATTCAACTGGTTCTGACTGGTTCTGAAGAACCAGCAGCAGAAATTTTGAGTAGTTCAGGGAATTGGCCAATCCCACCTCTGACTGGCCCCACCCCCATCTTTTCTCCATCTCCCATTGAGTCCCAGCTGATCGGCTGGGTCTCCTTTGGTTGCCCTGCACAGGAGAAGGGAGCTGGAAAGCAGGTTAGTGGGGTGGGGAGGGAAGGGAAGGGGGATTTTGCAGTATATCCTTCCCCTGCCATGCTCACCAAGTCACGCCCACCAAGCCACGCCCACAGAACACCACTCCCACCAAGCCATGCCCATAGCTGATCGGCTGGGTCTTCTTTGGTTGCCCTGCACAGGAGAATGGAGCCGGAAAGCAGGTTAGTGGGGTGGGAATGGGATTTTGCACTATCCTTCCCCTGCCCTGCCCACCAAGCCACGCCCACAGAACCGGTAGTAAAAAAAATTTGAATCCCACCATTGCATTAACCTATATGAAGCCAACTCTGGCATAAGTCAGATTCTCCAATGAAGCACCTTCACAGGCTGGGTGTCATCAATCACATTCTCTAATTAGCTACAATCTTTGTAAGGTAAGTGTTGAAATGTACTTCTGGTTTTAAACTGCTGGCCCTGCTCCTTCAGACTTCCTTCCCTCCCCACCCCTCCCCCTTGTTTATGGCAACTCTAAAACAGGCACAGGGATGCTTTACGAGGTGACACAAGTGGTCATTAAATAAATATACCATGACTTTTCTTTCTTTCTCTTTCGTTTTCTATCTATCTATCTATCTATCTATCTATCTATCTATCTATCTATCTATCTATCTGATTTGATTGCTTATTGTACCCTATGGCTATCATTAAGTGTTGTACCTGATGATTCTTGACTCTTGACAAATGTATCTTTTCTTTTCTGTACCCTGAGAGCATTTGCACCAAGACAAATTCTTTGTGTGTCCAAACACACTTGGCCAATAAAAGAATTCTATTCTTTCTTTCTTCTTTTTCTTTCTTTCTCTTTCGTTTTCTCTCTCTCTCTCTCTCTATCTGATTTGATTGCTTATTGTACCCTATGGCTATCATTAAGTGTTGTACCTGATGATTCTTGACTCTTGACAAATGTATCTTTTCTTTTATGTACACTGAGAGCATTTGCACCAAGACAAATTCCTTGTGTGTCCAACCACACTTGGCCAATAAAAGAATTCTATTTTATTCTATATTCTATTCTGTTCTATTCTATTCTACTCTCATCTGCATTCTATTCTATTCTATTCTATTCTATTCTATTCTATTCTATCCTATCCTATCCTATCCTATCCTATCCTATCCTATCCTATCCTATTCTATTCTATTCTATTCTATTCTATTCTATTCTACTCCTATTCTATTCTATTCTATTCTATTCTACTCTACTTCTATTCTATTCTATTCTATTCTATTCTATTCTATTCTATTCTATTCTATTCTATTCTACTCTACTCCTATTCTGTTCTGTTCTGTTCTGTTCTATTCTATTCTATTCCATAATTTCACCCATCCCTCAAGACCTTGGCTGCCACTCCCACCAGCCCCTTCCACCTGGGATTTCTGATTCCCGCCCCCCCTTTCCTGAAAACCCTCCATTCTCTTCCAAACCCAGAAAAATTCAACCCGGTGTTCGTCGGCAACGACAGGTACGCAACGTGGAGGACAGGGCCGTACAACAGCGCATCCTGGAATCGATACACCACGTACCTGCCACGGATCCCCAGGGTAAGCCACGCTCACCCCGGGGCTGGTTATCTCCAGGGGTGGGGAAGAGGTTAAGAAACAGCTGGGGGTGCAGGGTGGAATCTTCTCCTGGGGAAGGGATGGAATGCAACAGCTAGGAAATTTCCCCCACCTCATTGTCCTTTAAGCGTAACTCCAGGTGTCCCCAAAGTGCTTTTTTTTTTTCAAGAGGCAACTGGGCTTCCTAGATTTTTTTTGAAGATATTTCGCTTCTCATCCAAGGAGCTTCTTCAGCTCTAGACTGGATGGTGGGGAAGGGAAGGGTTTATATTCCTGGTCATTTGCATCCTTTTAGACGGTCATTGAGGCCACTTGGAGGTTTCTCTGTTGTCCTCAGGGTCACCTGAGTGGTGTTCCTGGTTCCGGTAGTCTGCAATTTTTTTTTCCTCTGGAAATCCACTCCTACTTCCACACCATTTAAAGGCTGTTCATCCCAAATTGTATAGATATTTAGCTATACAATTTGACCGAGATGTTTCTCGGTCATCCAAGTCATGGTTGTACCGAAGGACATTTTTTTTCCCGAGGCAACTGGACTTTCTGGTTTTTCTTTGAAGACATTTCACTTCTCATCCCAGAAGCTTCTTCAGCTCTGACTGGTTGGTGGAGAATGGAAGGATTTATACTCCTTCCAGACAGCTGGTCATTTACATCCTTTTAGAGGGTCGTTGAGGCCACTTGGAGGTTTATCTGTGTCCTTGGGGTCACCTGAGTAGTTGCAAATGGTTCCTGTAGTCATTTCCAGAATGGATTTCCAGAAGTAAAAAAAATGCAGACTCCAGGAACCAAGTCGAAGACTATTTGTATCCTGTTTTGAGCTCTGATTTAATTGCTGAAATATTTTGTTTGTAAACTCCCAACATTAGAGGAGTGGGCTGTGCAAATTTGAATGACATCCCATTTCCAAAAGGGAATGAGCTGGCTGGGGAATTCTGGGAGTTGAAGTCCACCCATCTTAAAGTTCTTGAGATTGACAAATACTGACTTAAACTTAAGGCTGGGCTCTATTACTAATCTTTTCAAGTTCTTCTTCTCTGGAGCTATTGCCGTCCGTCTTCTTTCCAGCGGAAATGGACTTACCTGTTGCAAATTTGCCTTTCAGGAGGCCGGCATGGACGCCATTTTGCGCGGGATGCCCATGGAGTACCCTCCGAAACCCGAGCGACTCAACAATTACGGTACCTCTTTCTGAAGCTCCCCACCCTCACCCCCAATGTAGGGATAAGAAAAGCTAGCCAGTCTGCGCTACGAGGGGTCCTTGGTGCTCTCTGAGCTTGGCTGTTTTCTTGCAGACGTTTCATGACCCAACTAAGTAATGTCATCAGTGCTAGAAGGGATGTAGAGATTTGTAAAGTGGTGGTGGTGGTGGTGGAAGAGGAGGAGGAGGAGGAGGAGGAGGAGGAGGAGGAGGAGG